TCTAAGGTCCTTTCCAACCCTAAGCATTCTATGATTCTATGACCAGTTGACTATAGGATCCGAGTTTAGGACAGAGACAATAGCTAGCAGAGGAAAAATTGCTCATTGCCGTGTCCCAGACTGAGTTCTCTGGAAGAGCTGAAATTCAGTTGTGGTGGCACCATGTTTACACTGGATTTATTTTTCTGTCCAGCATTCCATGGTGGTGGTTATTTACAGTGAGTACTTCAGCAACGTGCCCAGCTAATGGTGCAGAACCAGAAAGGGAGGAGAGATTGTTTCCAGCCCCTCCTGGCAGTTGCCAAGTCTGAGACTGGATAACTCTGTACAGAATGGCCTCCAAGCATTAAAAATTATCAAACTTTTAAAATTTAACTATATTTATGTAAGCTTTTCCCTGTAGCCATCCACTCTGTTCAGTTAGTCAATATCCTGCTGAGTGAACTCAGACTGACAAGTACCTTGAGAAAGTAATAATTTGTTATTAGCTTTTTTTGGTCTCTTCCTTTCTCCTGCCCCTAATACGGACACTAATTTTTGACAAGGCTTATACTTGTCTGGTTTTTTTTAATAATCTCAACCTTGAATTAGAGAGATATATCACTTTTAGTTCATTTATTAAAACATTGTGGTGATACATTTTTAACATAATGATATTTTTTCATGGTCACGTTAACACTAAAAAAAAGGCTTTTGGATTATTGGCTATGGTATGAGTTATATTTGTGTGTGAATTAACATGAACTTGTATGCTGTAATGCTAGTGAGAATTGGAGGTTCCACTACATGTAGATGCAATGTGAGCAACTGAAATGATCCTTTTTATGAAAAGCTTCCAATCTAAAGAAACACTAATGGTGAAATTATAATGTAACAGAGCTAATTAAAAATAATAGAAGAACATTTAATCTGTCACTCATTAGCCTCCTAGATCTTTACAAAAGACTTGAGAAAGTTAGCTTAGTAAGGGCCATAGAGGAAAATTCCCATTTTTACATGGGTTTCAGGTGAGTTCTTTGGGAGCAGTGTAGTTTTGAGAGCATATTGTGACTGGTGTGATATCATTTATGAACTATTTTGAAAAAAATAGTAATCTGAATAGAAATTAGGGTTTAGGTAGCTGCCAAATCCAGTATACAGAGACACATAATATATTTTGTTCTCATGGTGAATTGCTTCAGTTATGTTTTTCTGAGTTATCGCTGAACCCTGTGCCTGCATGGGGAGTATATGTTTATGGTGTATATAAACCTCTTACGGCCTGACTCTGATCTCATTGACATGGCTATTAATTCATTAACTTCAGTGGAGTTGTTCCTGATTTATCTTGGCAGGAGTGAGGACAGAATCAGGCCTTAAATCTTAAAATTAAAAAATTAAACTATAAAAATATTATGAAATAAAATATCACCAACATGTTCCCATTAAATAGTATTTAATGAGACATAAATAATAATAAATAAAGAATACAAAATAATGATAATAAAAAAATCCTGGTTAGTAGAAAAGCAGGAATCAAACATTTATTAGGAAGAAAAAAAACCTAGCAAGTTTTTAGTCAAGAGAGAAGATAATTTAAATAGTTACTCTTTTGAATGTATACGCTTGTAACAGTGACAAGTTATCAGCCAGAATCATTTTGGTTTTGAATAGCTATTGCATTTAAAATGAAGCCAGATTGACTTCTCTCAGTTGATGTTTATTGAGAATTTTTGTAATCTCCAATTGTATTAGCAGATTTATTTTTTTGAGTAAACATATAGTTGAAATTTAATTATTAATGCTTTATTTGGGTTTAAAAATCTAATTACTCCACTGTTCATCAATAATATTAATTCATTAAAGATTACAGTTAGTTGAATACTTCATTTGTAAGGATCTAAATTATTTTAAAAGTTGAGGAAGTTAGAATCTCTAATGAGCTGCCAAAGGAGCGGGGAGAAAGAATAAGCTAGTACAGTCAAATAAGCAACCATTGACATTTTCATGTGGTTCTATGAAAAACACATGTAAATGTCTTTATGTAGTAACGCTTCCAGTGACCTGGGAGATAAACTGATACAGGTATTTACCATCTCTCTGTAAAACATTTCCTCTTTTTATTGTTTTAGTGATGTATGGCTTAGTTACATGTACATTTTGGTTTTTTTCCCCTAGCTGACTACTGTAGCTTTAGGAAGGTATTAGTAAAGTCTTAGTTGCACACATCTCCCTGCTTGTGATGGCTTTGCCCTAGTGCTAGTCAGGAAATGGCTGGAAAACCTGCATGTGAGTGAGAAAGTAATTAGTTACGGCCAAAGTAAACTTTACTGTCTGGGGAGTTAGCTTAGCTTAGCTTCTGACATCGAATTGACTTAGCATTATTTACAGATTCATATTAATTAGCCCCTCAGTGGAAAAAAAAGTGGTCCATTGTAATTTTGACAATTTTTCTCGAATAGGCCACTTTCTATAGCCCATGTTAGTTGCACCAAGCAGGTGCAAGAAAAGTATTGTGTGAAAATCAGAGGATCTGCAGACAAAAATGCTGGCTTATATGGTTATAATCAGGAATTGCCATAATAGGAAAAGGAGTCATGAACACATGTGTACGAATGGAATTGTTCCACAGTTAACAGGAGATTTATGGCTGAAGAAATCACTACAAAACAGCAAGTGGTAGAAATTGTGTTTTTATTTTAACACAAGAGCCAAGTCTTGCATTAGGACATTTCTCAATCTAGTGCAGAAAATAAACGACACCCAAGGGATAGTGTAGCATTCTGTTAGATTGAAGGGTCTTTAATAATCCCATAGTCTAATAGCAGTTAAGATAGAAAATGTATAAGAACTAATCTTCTGCTCTTACAATAATGTGTGTATGATAACAAGAAACAGTTACATGTTGGCATTGTAGCTTTTAGCAGATGACTTTTTAAATTAAAAGATAAGTTTGCTGAGTGACTTTCTGGAACCTATTTAATGAAGGCCTGTAAAATATGATACCTGTTTACAGCTGGATTAACAGCACTATGCTCAACTACTAGTCTTTAGACAAAACGTACCGAACAAATCTGAAATCTCCTTTCATTCCTGGAAAGCTCAAATTCATTTTGGAAAAGCATAAATTTAACTTCTACATCTGTCTTTCTTTAATCACAATTAACAGTTTCTGTTTTTACAGATTCCACATGGTCTTGACTTGCAAACTAAATATTGTAGCAATCCTGCTTGTTCAGTTTTTTCCAAGTTTGGTTTCCTCTGAATAGCAGCAAGCAATAGCAATGCTATAGCATACCCAACCCCCCCCCCCCGCTTTCTCTTGAAAAAGTCAGTCTGTAGATTAACTTCAATTACAAGTTTTTCTACATAGATGTTTGGATATGGGGTTAATTTTTGATTGAATTATATCTACTGTATTTGTATTCTGTAGTTAGTGTGTATGTGTTCGGGGCATGCAGGGTGAGAGTAAGTTGTTCCTGAAATAACTTCCTTTTTGGAAGCAGTAGTGGTAAGTTTACACAGGACTTGTAAACAGAAAGTGTATTTTAGCCTGTGCTACAACTATCTAAGCAAACAGTTTGCTGTAGTTGTAAGCAGACCACTTTGCTGTGTAAATGTACACTAGATGGCAGTTTTGTCATATCTTCCAAGTTCAAATAGCTCTGTAAGAGAACAGGAAAGGCCATCAGTGTTTAGTCTGCACTCACAGGGTCCCTGCATGACCAATGTGGACCCCATGGACTTCCTGGAACATGTGTTAGCAATTTAGCAGCAGACATTTATTTCTTTGTTTTACTGCTTGGCTCTTTGAGAAAGTGTTGGTACTCGGTTATGGGCTGTCTGGATCATGTCAGAGGCCATGGGGATCAAGTCCATGTGACAGGCCAGACTGAGGAAGGATGAAGTTGGAGGAGGTGAGGAAACTGACCCTTACTTCAACAGTAACAAGTCACTGCCTGTCTGTGGACTGTGGCCAAATACCAGGGCGTTTTAGGTCTAATACAGCTGAATAAACAAAATGCTTTGCCCATTTGGCTTTTTCATATTTCATCAACACTAGTTCAATCAAAGTCTTTTCTAAGAAGAGGTTCTTATTCTTCATCTTTTCTTTTTTTTTCTCCCTCTTTTCCCCTCCTTCCCTACATTTTAGCCCCATCCAGACGAAGTGACCTTGAAATCCTTGGCTACTGCATGCTGCAATGGTTATGTGGAAAGCTACCCTGGGAACAGAACCTGAAGGACCCTGTAGCTGTCCAGACTGCAAAAACAAAGTAAAAATAAAACAATGCACACATTTACACATGCACACGCACATACTACTCTAGAACCCCGTAATGCCTTCATAACTTAACAAAGCAGGTCTGAAAGAGACAGATTTACATCCTCTAGAATAGCACCTTATGAGAAAGCTAAACCAGTTTTCCTTAATTAAATGTTAGAAGCAGTTAAAAATCTGAACTCTGTGTGCATGTATACCATCTTCCACATGTTTGTCTGTACTGCTGTAGAGATATGATAAATTCAAACGCACAGTAAACAGTTGTTTGTATGCTGTGTATTTTTTTAATACTCTCTTTTTAAAAAAGAAAACAATTGAGAATTAGTGCAGGCCTTATTGCACTACAGAAGGTTGTTGTGTGTTTCCATTAAACTTCATGGGTGCTTTGTAGAGACTATAATACAAACATCTCTTGGAAGATTTTCTGCATGTGCATTCAATTTATTTCACTTTCTATATGATACTATTTTTCAGATGTTTTTATGTGGGTTTTTAGTGTTATATAAGCCTACTGCCGTTACAAACAATTAAATACGAAAATACTAAAGAACTTGATTAAAATTTTTCCTTTTTCCCCAGCATGACTCATTTAGAGCTTACTAAATCAACAGTGTATGAGTGTTTTCTTTCTTAGCTTTCACAGTTGGGACTTGAGAGAGTTAATTGCATGTGGTACAGTGTAGCCTGTAGAAGAGTAGTTACTCATAAATGTAACATCACAATTGGAGAAGGCAGCAAACTTTAAAGTAGGGCAAGTCACAACAGAGGTACACAATAGGGATAGCTGATCTACAGCAATCAATCTGCAAATTCAGTGTGGCATCGGCTCTCAACAGAGAAAAAGGTTAGCCTGCACACTGTGGATAATACAGATTGCATCTGTAAATGTTGACATCATATGTTATGCTTAATATTTCTCCTTTAGAAGTTCTGATCATTACACAACCCTCTGCAAGGTAACACTTATACAATTCAATGTTAAATCAATTTAATCAATCAAGCTGCTTTGCTAATTCTTCCCTTGAGGTTAACCCTTAGATTGCTCGCATTTTCAGGATGCCAAGCAAACTGATGCTTAGAGGAAACGCACAGAAATTGATACAAATTCCATTTGTCAGAAAAATCCTATTAGTCTAATGAATTACATTATTGGTATTAGGTAACTTGGCCAGGTCATCTTTTATTTAATTTTTGGTGCCTATACTGTTTTCAAAGGCCAGAAATAGACAGAAATCCAGATATATGTGTGTATCTAGTTGCTTGTAAGTTAATAAGTACATTAACAGCACAGTCAAATCACTTCTGAGCATGCCAGTCCTCTGCTATGGAGTCTGTGTGATGATGAGGAAGAAGGGCCTGGGCCTGGAAAGTGGGGTGCAGTTGGAAGGCAGGAGCCAGAGCAGGACCTCAAAGTCTGTTGTTCAGCAGTTATCTCATCCTCTCATCCCTTTGCTACAAGTTCTTAGTCTTTCCTCCCCATAATGCTGGGGCAATGAAGCAGCTGTGCCAAAGTTTTGGGGATTGGTGAGGGGATATTTAAGGACTGCTGGTGTATTTGAGTTCAGAAATGTTCATGCCAAGCCCTGATTAGCGGAGAGGCTCCATTTGAATTAGAATTTAAGCTAGATTACAGGAAAATATTTATGTTTAAATGTTTCATTTCCCCAAAATTGAAACCCCTATTTCTGATACTAAACAACATACTACTGAATTGCAGGTTATTAGCCTAGGTACCCCACATTTATGTATGTGAGAACACTTACTGTTAGTGATTGGTGGACCTTTATGGCTTCTTTAAACAAATGAACATAAACAGGGATCCTTTAACAGTATTAATAGTTGGACTGAACTACCAGATTTCATATACTCGGCACAAGGGGCCTTATGCAGCTGCAGGTCCTACAGGTGCTAGGAGATCATCCTGCTTCAGGCCTGCACAAAGATGAGAGCTGGTGTTACTTCATCAGTTTTTAGGGTCTGATTGATTCTGAGCTCCCGTGTCCTTCGGTATTTCTTTTTCTGGATAGAGAGAAAGTACATCTGTGGCCTTGCCCTTCAGTTTATGAAGTGCATGGGACTTAAGGCCGTTTAACCTCCCTCTTCCCTTTTGTCCCTGCTGTGCTTGCTTGTAATTTTGACAGCCATCACCCAGCTGCCCCTGAGCTACATGGCAGAAGGCACCTGATGCTAAATGACTCGTAGGCAGACCAGAACTGCTTCTTAAATTCCAAAATACAAATATTGATCATTAAGCTGAAATTGGAACAAGCCATTTCAGCTCAAAGCATTTTTCTCTTTGTTTCTATAAAATGTAAAACATCTGCAAAGAAAAACTTAAAGTGCAGTCTTAGCTGTAAGCCTAGTCTTGCTGAAATCAGCAGTCATGCAAAGAGTTAAAAGTATAGCTGGGAAGAGGAGATTTTGTTTTAAAAGCAGTGCTGTGAATCATTAGCTACCCCGTAGGTCCACTCCCTTTGGAATAGAGATTTGCTCTCTTTCTAAATCCCAAATGAAGAATCACCTGCTCCAAAACCCCATTAAACTGTTGCACTCTCATGTTGTTTCAGACTTATGGATGAGCTCCCAGATTCAGTGATGGAATGGGATTCTTCTGGAAGCAGCTGTAGTAAGTGTGCTTACAGTATATACCATAAAGCTCTTTAGCCTGTTACAAAAAAATACCTCAAAGTCTTGGCTTATTTGGGGGAAGCAGTGTAAAAGTAACACAAATTTAACAAAGCCTTCAGTTTCAAATCTTAAATGTAATTGCTAAGTTTTGCACCTCAAGCTAGAAGCCTTTACCAGGCCTGAGTTCATGCTGTATTACCAGGCTCTGGTCTTGGGGCAAACAATAGGGTGCAAGCAGCCATTGTAATGGGACCCCTTGAAATCAAGCCTGCATGAACCACTCTTACACATACCTATCCAGCAGAACAATTCAGCCTGCACTCTCTGCACTTAGCTGATAACACGGTAGTTATGTTATACTTGCTGTTAGTTTATGTCATACTCATTAATTCAGGATGCAGTTTAACTGAACGAGTATTTCTCACTTCAGTGGAACTGAATCAGGCCCTTCACGTACAAGCTTATTATCCTTTAAGCATTTTTAGCTCGAAGGCTTGTTTACTGTAAGGGGAGAAGGTAAATTTCTGGATGTTGTCAAATGCTGGTCATTCTTCAATAAATGATTCTTGATACTTACTGATACAGGATGCTTAATGCTTTTATTGCAGGAACTCTTTTTTTTCCTGCTGCTTTCCTGCATTATCCAATAAACAAGTACTAAGTAGATGATACAGACATTGAGGGCTAAATTTTCAACCCCAGTATGTGGTGGTACAAAAATCTTGAACAGTCTCATCTGTGATGTATGCTGTAGAGTGACATAAGGGATCCTAGCCATATGTAATCCAAGGTGTTAGGAAGCAGTGACTATCTTAGAAACAGAAGTAGCTGTTAGTATGGAAATAGTAAGCAACTGTCTACAGAAGGTTTATTGCTTAGTATTCAGAGGAGTTTGAAAAAGCAGATGAATGGACGGTTTGTCTTGCCATATATTTCTTCCTTCACTGAAATATAAAAGCAACCCAGAGAAAACACCAAACTTCCTTCAAAGGTCAGTATCTTTTTTTTTTTTATTCACTCATTTTCATAACATTTCTGTATTTGAATTATTGAAATGCATTATGTATTGCATAAAATATATTCATGATGCATATACATGTTTAGTACATCTTTACATCTGGGATTTTACTAGATGCTAATATCTGGTGTAGTACTCCAGTTTTAGGAAACACTTGGGTCTTCAAATGAAAGAAAAATTGTATCCTCCCCATATGTTTTTCCTAATAGTATTATTTCTGCCCATTCAGTGGTTTCCCTGTTTCTAGAACCACTCGATAATGATAGCAAAAAAAAATAAAAAATGCTGCTGTTAAGACTGTTTTAGGGATGTAATCTCAAAACCAATTATCTGTCAAAAAGTATTAGAAGTTAAAAAAAGTTGGTTTTTTCCAGAGCATTCAAAGTATAACATTTATGCAGATTAAAACAGTATTGTGGAGAGTAGTTAATATTTAAATATATTATTATTAAATATATTATTGAGTATAAAATACTTCTATTTTACACAGAACTGTCAATAAAGTATTTTGGTTAATATTTATACTTAGATAGCTTTTGGTACTATACGAATTAGTGCATGTGTATAACAAGATATAGCACTTAAGGGTTAGCGTCTTGTCCTGGGTTAAGCAGAGACAGAGTTAACTTTCTTCATAATAGCTAGCAAGAGGTTATCCAAGTTTATATTTTCCTTTTCTTGTCTCAAAAAGACAAGATATTGTCAGTTCTGTGTTTTGAGTGTGTCTTCAGCTGAAACTGTGTCATCTTGTTTAGCAATGTAGGACTGGCATCCATTTTGGAATTAAATTTTCTGAAGTTCTAGGTCTACACCAAGGGAAATTTACATTACAATATGCTCTACAGGTGAAATAGCCAAGTTTTTGGCATGTGTTTATGGCTTAGCTTATGATGAGAAGCCAAAGTATCAAATGCTCAAGAAAATCCTGCTGGATGGACTAGAGTCAAGTGGAACTCGCTATGATGGCCCTCTGGAATTTTCTGCTGCAGCATGTGCACGAAATCACTGTGCTGCTAAAGCATCAAAAGTAAGACAGTTCTGGGATTATTTCTGACATCTCCTGCTTGATTGTTGCCTTGTCTTTTGTAGAAGAGGAAATAGTTTAAGATCTTAAAATGAGACTGACACAGTAGTTCTTTGCCTTAAATACACCATGTTTGTTAATTCCTGTTTCCCCTGGCTTTGCTAAAAAGTGGAATGTCAACCCTTAAGGAGGAAGAACTGTCATGAGTCCTTTTGACCTACAGCCTCTCACTTCAAAGCGGTAGGTCTGTGGAGAATGATTTACTTTCAGGATAATGGGGAAGTCAAGGACTTGGTTCACTAGCATCTTGAAGACAAGCCTGAATGCCAGGTTTTTCCTTCATTCCAGATTAAAAGCAAAGTTACCTTTATCAGTGAAAGCATTTGATTCATTTTCTTGCTTTCAAACTCCTACAGCCACTAATGTGGAGGAGGTATTATTCTGGGATTTAACTGTTATTGGTATGCAGTGCTATGTGATGCACTAACAGAATTTTAAAACTGACAGCTCTCGTGTTATATTTTCCGTTTGTACTTTTAAGTCTGAAAATATATAGTTAATAAAACCATGTTTTAATAAGCGGAGATTGAGGTAATTAGCAGTCTTACTGGACTTGCTGTGAAATGTCAGTCCCATCATACCTCTGCCTCAAAACTCCCCGTATGCAAAAGCCCTGTTTCCGTCTCTGATGCGTGTGCAATAAGGCAGGGTCAGGGTACTGTTCATTTTTAAAATTTCTGGTGAACTTTGGCCCATCACAAGTGTACGTGAGCCAAGAATGCAGGATGCAAACTAATGTGACTGATAGGCTGCTAGATGAATGGTGATTCAAGTATCAGTGCACAGATGGTTCTGATTTGCTGAGTTTTGTAGCTGCTGCAACTGAAGACATAAAATATCCTTCTAGTCATAAATTAGCTCTTTGGAATCAAAACCTTGGCACCAGAGCTTTACAACCTTCAAAAGTATTTGAATGACTGTGGTATTGACATCTGTAGGCCTGCATAGTAATCATTCCTAATAGAAGAGAATATCTGTTTGAGGGGGTTTTGCATGGCTAATTAACCACCAGTGAGAATATGTAATTTTTTCATGATCTCCTGATTGTCACCTTTCTCTCATTATACAATTACATTTTATTGTAGCAAGTGCCTCACAAACCAATTGTCAGAACTATTTACGTATTATGGAAGGCAGAATAAAAGTTCATGTTTAATAAAAAGGCACTGGGTTTTGATCTTGGTAATTACAAATACTTTTTTTAGCATTTTTATTGACTTTTCTGTTTTTATCACTTTTTTCTTTTAACAAAACCAAAAGCTATTTCAGTGACAGTATTTCTCTTGCTATGATAGTGACCGCTTCGTCCTCACTAATTTGAGAAGCTTTTTAAAAAAGTTTGGACTGTTTTCTGAACTGAATTGAAACATCAGGTAGCTGTTAACTGATCTCCAGCTGATCCTGTTGGATCTCTGGTTCACTGGCGTTTTTGATTTCTTAGAGTCAGATACTGAATAGTAAATCTATATTTTTCTTATTGCCTGGCCTAACACTTGACAGTATGCTGGCATAAAAGATGATCCTGACCTTCCAGGCTGTAAAAGCGCTTGCTATTTGCAAGTGCACAACCCCACTGAAAAATCCATGAATGAGGAGTGTCAGTTAGCACCACTTGTGTGCTGTAGGACTAAGCAGAATTGGTTTTGATGGCCAAGAACAAGATCAGAGAGAGAGTATGTCTGCATATTGCTATCTCTCGGCACCTGTCATCACTTTTTCAGGGAAATTTTTAATGTAGAGTGTCTTGCTTCTTGGAATAGTAAGAATGCTAGCACTGCTCCAACAGTCACCTCTTTTTTACTTGAGTATGTTTCTTCAGACAGTTCTGCTGCTTACTTGCACAAGCTTCCTGTAACACTCACTGCAAAACAGCTGCAGAAAGGAAATTTCTAGTGTTATTCAAGGACTTAAGGAGTATACAAGTAGAGAGAGGAGATAACTGAACCTTCTCTAGATTTATTGCTATGTTCAGAAAATTCCATTTTTCATTGGCTGTGGAGAATATTCAAGGCCTGGTGCACTTTGCTACAGTCCTGACAAAGTGTTTGATGACAGGCAGGCACTTCCCACTGCATCTCTTCATGGCACAGTCTGTAGTTATCCTAGGTCTGACTCTTTTCATCTCAGCCCTGTGCATTCCCTTTCCACCTCCCCTTTTATTCACCAAACATTTCTCCCATTAAAGAGGCAACCTAAGAATAGTGGGAGCCTCTACAAACAATCCCCTGTCTCCTTACTTCTTGCTTATGAGCAGAATCTGACTCCAGATGACCTGTCTGATTCTACCTGTACCAGTTTGGTACACAGGAAAGAAGTGACTTTGGGTTAATTCCCTTCTGAAGACCAGTAAACACCTGTAAGTACCAATAAGGGGATCCTGTAACACTAGCTCCTTGAAGGTCATGTGAAGAGGAATTGCTACAGAATATGAATTTTAAGAGCAGCTCCCTGTGTAGTACCTGAATCTAATCTTGAGATGACATAAAAAGCATACCAGTGGCTACATCTTGTACAGTGCAGCATGGTGCCATGATACCTTCAGATAACTGTCTGTGGCACTGGGCCTCACCCCTGCACCTCCATTTCTCAGGGCTACCTGCAGTGTTATGTCCTGAGACAGACTGTTTGTAACTGGCTGGAGTTGTTATTCAGAACAGATACACCTTTATGTTTCTAAACATTAATAGTTTTCACAGAGCAGAAGTATGGATTATATTCTTAAAAGGTGTTTTGGATTAGACAATATACAAAGTGCCTACTGGCACTTTCAACGGTATTTTGGTTGTGCAATTTCTATCTCCTGTATGTATTTAATTTGCAGTATAAAAAAGACCATTATTTCTTTTTTAGCTGCTGTACTCAGATACAGCTGCTGCGTGGAAGACCATATGCAAACAGTACAATTACAGAGTTATTAGCATGCCAGAAGTACCAAAGGCATGTGGCATACAGTTTGTGTTTTGGCTACATTTGTCTTCCAAGCTACAAAAGCCAAAACCAGACATCATTTGATACTTAGTGCTTAGAGCAGCACTGGAAAAACTTGCATTAACTCATGCAACTATGTAAAAGAATGTAAGCCTTAACTCTTAAATTGGATTACCCAGGTCAGAAATCTTAGTGATATCTTACTTTAGAGAGTTTTGCATTTGACTCAATCTAGTGATAGGAAATGCATTCAAGCTCTACTTCTTAGTGAAACAAAGTGACTTACTGGCATCATTCCCAATAAAGGTTATTAGCGAATGCTTTGAAATGCATAACTGAAGTTTATTTCATAGCATACTTCCCAAATACAGCATAGCTCTAACTTTGTACTGTTTGAAGAAGACATTTATTGATAATTAAAATGCTGAAAACAACTCTTTTGAGAAAGATAAAAGCTTACTTTAATTCTGTGTTCTCAGTACTGAAGATGGGACATTTTTCTTTTTAATATACTGACTTTTTCACTATACAAAATTGTTCACCATACATCAGCAGGTTTGCTTACCAAGGCCTATGCCAAAACCAATTCAGCAGAGGCAAAAAAAGATAGAAGGTGAAGACTACAAAGCCTGTACTGGGGTAACAGGCAAACAACTCCAAGATGAAGGAAAGCCACGTAAACTAAGCAGGATGCTTCACCAAACAGAGCCTCAGCAGGTGAGGTTTTGGGCACTGCAGGAACGTGGGGGATGTCCTGGGAGTTAGCTCTGTTAGCTCCATCTCCCCCTTTTGGGGTGGGCAAGGAAGAAAAGTGCTTGAAAAAAGGCAAGTGCTATGTCACAAACTCCAGAAGTTAGCACCTGCTTACTGGCTTGTATTATTCCAGACATAAAACTTAGTTTTTTGTAAGCCCAGGGAATAAGTGCAAACAGGGCATTACCCTCACGTATCTCAAACCTAACAGGTCCAAGTATTGGAATGGTAATTATGATAATTTTGATAATTTTGAATTATTTTCAGCATGCAGAATTACTACCTGTACATCAGCAGGTTTGCTTACGGAAGCCTTCACCAAAAGCAGTGCAACAGAAGCAAAATAAGGTGGAAGAGGAAGAACGTAACTGCCTAAGTGGGCTGCGTGCTCGGGTAACATGTTGGCAAGTCCAGGCTGAAGAGAAGCCAATTAAATGTTACAGTGTGACTCAGGAGGCTGACCACCTGCCAAAGGTGAGGTTTTTGCTGTTACTTAGAACAGTCATGGCACCCTCCAAAAGAAAGGTCAGCTTTTCTAAAAATTAGAGGTTAAAAAAAGAAAAACCCACACCACCACAAACAAAGCCTAAACTAAATGTATGCAAACTAGATGTTTGACCCCAAGGGTTTAAAGTTTGGTCATACTATTAGCAAACTCCCACTCCAGTTTTTTCTATAGCTTGGTAGTAAAGCACTGTACTTTGAGTACTGAACCAGCGTGCAGGTAAAAGCGATGGGAAATGACTGTCTCCCTTTGCAAAATCTGTTGTTTTCTGGGTAGAAATTTACTTCAGTAGTTTTCTTTTCTACGTAGTGGAAAACCTCATAGCACTCTTAATTAAGTTCTTAAATTCTGACTTTTTAATCTGAGGATTTTAGTAGTTAACTAACCTCAAATATTGATGGCAATTACTGCATAAAAGGGTTGAACGAATGTATTCAATCTTACTCTCCAACTGTACATGAAAAAATTTAAGTAAATTCATCAAGGTTTAAGTAAAAATAATGCAGAAAAAAGTACATCTCAGTAATGAGACTGTGCTCCTTTTCTATGGAGCTTAAGTATATTTTAACAAAGAGATTCTACCCTGTTTCTTTCACATAGAAACTTTTTAAATTAGGAAAATTTCTAAGAAGCACAAAAATACAACTTTAAAGATAGCTTTATTATTAATCCAAAATTCTTTGCTTCAAGCAGTCTGCTGATCACTGCCTGGAGACTCCGGTACAAGCTAGGAGAGTGAGGCAGAAAAAACACAGCTGTACCTGAGAGCATCAGGCAGTAAAGTGGTGAGCAGAACAATTTCTGGAGATATTTTGGCTGAGAGCAAGGTAGACAGATTCTGAAAAGTCTCTGGAGTCCTGAAACAACAGTGACTTGAAGTAACAAATATGATTTTTTAATGTGAAGATATTCCAGTGCTAATTCTCAGGCCTCAAACGTAAAATTTAAAAAGTATTAGCACAAAAAGGTAGCAAATCTCTCCCCAAATCTCCTTCCTCCTGCACATTTTGTATAAAAGCTACTGTAGTTCTAAGAAAGAAGTAGATGCGGAAAGAGAGCCATGTTTGGTTTCCAGCATGACATAGGGAAAAAAAAAAAAGAGCTGGTGTAACTTCCCTTGGTTACTTGAACAGCAAGCACACAGCATAGATTGTAGATCTTGACACCGGAGAGTAATTAGGGGATTTGTGTTTCCGCCCTTTTTGTGGAAAGAAGGAAAAGTAAATTTTTACAGAAATGGAGTAATCACTGGTTTAGTATTAAGATATATTTGTGTTTTGATTTAGCATTTCTGAAGGAAAAGCTGCTGTTCCAATATTAATAATGCTGCATCTACGTAGAATAGTTCTGTGGTACTCACTGAATGTTATGCATAATAGGGCAGGGTTAAAATGTCAGGTAACATTTAAGATACTCAGATGAGAAACTGGAGAAGAAAAAAAAAGCAGGATTGTATTAGGTTCATTTTGCAAACTTCCTCTCAATTCCTTTTACATAATGTAGGAGATTGGTAAAGGAAAGCTCTAAAGGAAATTTTAGAGTACTGAGGTTAGGAAAATTCAGGAGGATTCTTCAGGCACAAAGGGGGGAAAGAAACAATGGTTTATGCAGGAACTAGAGCGGTGAGAGGCCGTCAGACACTCTCCAGAGAGCAATTCCAAACACTGGGGTTAGGCAAGTGCCTGGTGTAGTTAACTGCAGGCGCCTCACTCGAACTTAGAGAGGATGGCCTCCCTCTTGCCATTAATAATTTAGGTTAAGAATTTTCACCAAGAAAACTGTATGGCTAGGGTTGAAATTAAGCGAGATGTATTGCTGAACAATAACACATGGTGAATGGGATCACAGAAAGGAAACCAAAGGTGGAAACTTTTCTAAGGGACAGTGGAAAATATGGTCAAGTCTTAGTTATGTGAGAAACAAAATCATAGTGTTTGGGAATTCCTTTCAGAGATGGAGATCAAAAAGGTAACCTAAGGATAACATTGCTTCTGGAGGCCTAAAAAAACCCCAACACCACCCTGTCCAACTACAACAAAAACCACACTACTCGTATATGTGATAAATCAGGAGAACTTTAGCTTCACTAGGAAATGAAAAAACTTACTCTGGAGTTTGATTTGCCATTTTAATTTATGTAAGGTCTAGGGTTTCCAGGCTAAAACTTTATTTGCAGGAACACTGTAAAGGCTTCATATATTAACATTTTTTGGAAACAATCATATAGAAGAATTTCAGTTGTTGACTTCAGTAATAACTAAGGACTATGTCTCTTTAGAATGTGTTTAATCATGCCTAATGTTATACACTTAATATACAATTCTGGAGTTCAGACTTTGTAAGAACTGTATTGCTTTCTCTAGGATAACTTAAATACCTGGATGTCATCTTTGGCATCTTTGTTTTTCTGATTCACACCTCACTTATTCAATATTAAGTTTATTATTACTTTTTTTTTCCCCTGCAGAAAGATACTGCAAGAGAATTACCACCATTTGACCCCCAAGCAATATTCTCAGAATCCAAAAAGAAGCATGATCAACTCTCAACTACAGAGCAGCTGGTACCACTGCAAGGAACTGGTTCTGACATCACTAGTTCTTCTCTATCTGTTATATTTAGGCTTGCATTTGCTGATGAAACATACCACTATAGTATAGCCATACTTGTACTTCTGCTACTAATATTACTTTCCTTGTATTTTCTTTGATATGACTGTTTTGGTGTCTTCAGTGTAAGTGCAGTGGTGTTCCCATCACTCAGTTTTTTTTCTCAAAGTTTCTTGATTGAAGATTTCAGGGTCAGGGGCTTGGAAGAGATTTTTTTTAAATAATACTGTTAATACATATCTTCTAAAGGCAAGTTTTCTTAAACTTTCCCAATCTGCACTGAATAGTTATGTATGCGCTAAACTATTTGTACGAGGCCGTTTTGTGTTATGAAAGTTGGGATTCTTTTTTTTAGTTTTTTGAAACTGGACCTCTGCTACATTAAAAAAGTATCACGAAATACAACAGAGCGTGATATTTAATTATTCAAACACCAGTATGTTGATAACTGGTGCACAGACGTCTTTATATGTTTCAAAAAACATTGATTTAAATACTGATGCATTAAACGCATGGGAATGTAAAGTCTTCCTCTCTTTATTCCAATGTGTAAAGAGAAGATAGCCACATATTCTGTTTTACAACTGACTTTGTTATAGCTTTTGCCTTTATCTAAGCTATCACACACGGTTCAGTTCACTCACTCATTTTCATTAGATTTCCTTACCTTATTGCAGTATGGACATTCACCAAAGATGACATTAAAACTTTGTCTGCTGGAAGGAAGACCTTGTAGCCACTGCAACACAAGTGGATTAAAATTCAGATTTGTTTCACATCAAATTTAAGAATCATCTACTACCAGGGATTTTTTTCCAGAGTTCACTTGATCAACACATGACATCGTGTGTGTCAAGTTGGAGTCTGTACACCCACAAAGCGAGGCAGATTCCCTTCCCCAAGGAGCTTATTTATGAATTGGGGGTTAGAAGACAAGAGGAAGCACAGCGACTGTTGTAGCACTCTTTAAAGGACTTTGCTTCATCTGAAATGTAAGCAGGCAATGCTGATTTTCTAGAATCTGTGAGTTAGTGAGCAAGTTTGTCCCATTAATAACTTTACCTCATACAGGCAAGCCTGATGAAAAGGTTGTCCGCAGCGGGGATCGTCACACACTTGATCAGGAGTAGCACCATCGAGTCGATAGGCATAGCAGATTCCACAGTCCTTAGCAAAATCCTTAAACCACAACATGTTTTAGCTTACAGTACAACTGACAGGAAGAAACAGGGCTGGTAACACAGAAAACATGTTCATCTACTTGTCTTTGCTTTTGCATTTTTTGTTACTTAGAATCACTAAATATTTTTGCCTTCAGTATTATGTTTATACCATAATGGTGTAAAGAATGTGATTAGTTGCCAAATGTGCAGGACTTTGCTAGGTTCTATTTTATCCTCTCACTGAATTACATCTCATTTGACCAGCATTTTCATACTCTTGGGCCCCCCTGTTTTTTTTTTTTTTTTATTAAATGCAATGATTTGTCATTACATTTTGATATTAGACACAAGCCCTCACAGTCACAGATATTAATTTAAAAATTTCACAAGTGAAAGCAGAGTTAGTAATCCAGTGTTACAGCATTGTCAAAAATTAATTCCAAGTTTGCCTGGAATGCACCAGTATTTGGATGGCCTCTTGTCTCCTCTAAGCAGCTCTACCTAATTAGAACCTAAGCCATCAACATCCATAACAGAATGTTTGGGTTTTCCACATCTCATTAGCCACTCTGGAACCTCCTCTTAGTGAAGCCTGTTATTAATCGCCTTACTGCTACAAAGGCCACAGGAAACTCTGCACCTCTAATCAAAGGTTAACAAGCTCTGACAATTGTTGCTTGAAGTTCAGAAGTCCTTATGACAATATATTAATCCAGTTACCTCTCTGCTAAGTCTCTTATTTTTGCTAGTAGTTATAAAGTGACCATTTAAATTTTACCTATTGGGAAATAACTGATCATGAAGAAAAAGCAACTTACACTTTTTTCTAACACAGCACAAGATGGAAAATCAATTTCTAAGAGGTCTTTCAAGTTTTGTAGTAAACTGATTTCTGGATCCCTGCAGGTGGGAGAGGGAGAAAAAAGTCAACACTAGGAATGGCAAATACCATTTCAGTTTTAAGCCGATATTATTAAAGATGCTTACCATAAGTGCATATTGTTGTTCAGCTTAATTCTCAAAGGGTTAACCACTGCGAACAATGTACATAAATAATTACATCATCTTTAGGATCCCCACCCAATTTAACCTCTTCTATTTCAGCACTGAAGGGGAAGGCATGGCGCAGGGGGGGCTGGTTTTAATTATTGAAGCTATTTAAGTCAATGACTGCTCTTAGTTTTTTGTTTTGGAAATTCATTACACTTATATTTAAAATATCATACTGTTGAAGATACTATCCTATTCACCTTAAAAAGTTGGTAAAAATCTCTGGGACACTGAGCAAGAGACTTAAATATTTCCAAACACTATTAGGGCATATGTAGTCTTTTATTTTTTTAAGAAAATTATATGAAAATATAAATGCGGTTGGGTAATCATCTGTAGGACACAGCATTCCGTCTAAACTGTGCTAGGAAAGCACTGGAAAAAAGTGTCACTCACAGAGCAAACCAGCATGCTATGGATCTAGGCTGTTAAAAACCCCAGCATCTACTGCGTAAACTCTCGCACACATATTCAGCTTAATTCCTGGCTCTGCTTCAGTAAAGCTTACCCCAGGAGTCTGACATAGCTTACGCTAGTATCTGCTCACCAGAGACCAGATTCTAGAATAGAAACAAACGGTGTGTGTCTGCTGCCTTACCGTGATCTGCTCCAAGAAAATAACACTCAGGGAGCATGTTCGGATGCAGAGGATCTACCTCTACGTTCACTGAGACATTGTTCCCTGCAATGAGAAAGCAAATAAGTCACAGGGGAACCTTTTCTTTGCAGTTAAGTATTTGAAAACAGAAACATTAACCTTTTTTTAAAAGCAGTTTTAAATTTGTTAATTCAGGCTGGTTTTTATTACTACAGATAATAAAATGTTGGTAGGTATCCAAATTAATTGTTCAAAATATCAGGATATATTAAATATTTACATTTCAATGGACTGTAAATAAAAATAGTAACTAATTTAAAAAAAAAACAACCTGCCAGTCTTGCATTTCTTTTAGCCTAGTCTTAAGGTTAAGACAGACTTATTTCTGAATAATCAAACTCAAGCTAGATTACATCATCCATTTGAAATCTTAGTGAAATTTTTAAAGGTAGTTGAGTAATTGTTATTAATTTCTTGTCATCTTTTAAGTCAAAGATGGAAGCATAAAGATAATATTAAGCAGTAAAAGCCAGTCCCCTCCACAGCATACTCCTGGGCTGAGCGAATAATGACATATTTTTGAAATAGCAAATATTTTTTTTTTACAAGATACCCCGTCATTCTCATAAGGCATAAGCAGCTCAAAACAATCCAGTCTAAAAACTTCACAGCAAATTCTTTTCTAAATAAAAACAGGTGAAACCCAACATTTTTTGTAATGAAGAGGTATCTTAGCCTTGTCCTCCTTGAAGAAATCAGAATGAATTAAATTAAAGTCATAACTGAAGATTGTCTGCAACCGACAGCAAAGGGCTCAAAGCCTCGCATATCCCTCCACTGATCTAATGTGAGGTGCTTTTTCAGGCTTTTCTTTCCTTTTTTGTTGGTCTGTGTCAAAGTACAGCAGAACTAAGATAAAGCCACCCTGACTGCATGCACAGGCACAAAGTGTTGTCCAACCCATGTCATTTTAGCTGGTTGATGAACTTTTTCTGTCCCTCCCTCAACCCCCAATGGAGGAGCAGCCTCAGCACCCCACTAGCTCCTTTCCTTCTTAATGCTGCAAGCAACCAGTCCTTCTGCAGGTTTCTGGCACAACTTGAGGCTACTTTGGTCCATTGTTATGTTCTCAGGTTTTGCCAATGTACTATTGACATTTTGAATTTCAGCTAAAAATCAAAACTTTCAAAGATAACATTTGCCTCTGTATCTCTAACCTCTGACAGTGGCAAGTTTCTCCTTTGCAATCATAAGACTTCTTACCCTATATAAATTAAGACCTTAAAATGCCAGACATCAGCATATGAATTAAGGCACTTTTTCAGATGGTTGACACTGTAAGCCTCTAATTTCCTCTTCTCTTATTTCTTTGTCCTTTCCACCTGCCTCATTTAACCCCCTTTTCTCCATTTTGAGTGCACTCTAATATTCCTTTGATCTTTGGGCAAGATCAATCTAAAGTAATAGTCTGTTAAAACGTGGAATTTGTGAATGACATAAGGGCTTCACATAAGCTGACTTTAGAAATACTGATTTCTCTAGAGTTATCACCCAAGTACTCAGTTTTTGAGAGTTACATGTTCATAATTTACAAATACACAATATTTTCCTGCAGAAACTTTCATTTTACACCATAAAGTTGGAATTAATTTCCTAAACGGGTTCAGTATTTTGTTGAATATTGTTGTTATTTCTTCAATACACAAAATAAGAGTTGTGTCTTGCTGGTTTTAAATGCTTTCATTTTCCTAACTCTATAAAGCACCGTCTGATTAGATAAGCAAAGCAAGACAGCACCCTGAGTTTTACTTCTCAAATCCATTGTATTCCTCCCAATCTTTTCGTACCTATTGCAATTCTTCTTGTTGTAGCACTCCGTGTGGGACTTTCTGGCTCAAGCACCCATGTCTTCCCATCAATTTCATCCATGGCATCCCAGAATTCTTTCAGCGATTCTAATGCTGCCAGGAACTGATTATAAATGTCTATTAAGGAGTTCTAAGAAAGGAGAGATTTAAACAAATTTCATGTAATTTCCACCTACAGACATGTAGAATATTTAAAATACAAACTGTAGCTAATTTAAGAAGTATTAAAATCTAATATGAATCCAATTGTATCATAGTAGCATTAAATGAACTTCAGAGGTTTATTAATTGAAACAACACAAGTAAAGAGCAGCTGTATCCTGAGTACAAATAAATTCTCTAATCCTGGAAGTTGTAACATGTTTTGATATATGTACATCATACCTGGATTTGATAACATTTTATACTCCTTTTCAGAAAACTTCTCTGAAAACTGTTAACAACTGTTAATTTGCATTGCAACTTGTAAGCTGCTACTGTAAAATTAAAGTAAAAATCATCATTATCTGCTATTAAACTTGTAACATTCTGATATTTTGTCTCTACTTCAGCTGAGCAACAAGGCAGTGGTGCCAGATAGAAATACCCACATAACTAAAATAGCTTCTTTATTTTTTGAAAGACTCAGAGAAATACAGCCAAACAATATCATAATTATATCAAAATTAAGCAGTACAAAACCAGGCACTTAGCATAAGATTTCAAGCCATGTAAATATGGTAAGAGAGGGAGAAACTGGCTAATGATCAGAGGATTACACTCAAGGGATTTCAATATTTGAGAGTGGATTAGACAGAATCAGAAAAATCTTTCATTATACAGGACAATATACAGAGCAGCAATGCAAAAGAAGTCTTTTAAAAATCCCCAGTGAGCACAAAAGAAGTAACTATTTCTATAGGAAACTTCAAGTAGAGAACACACTCTGCAGTTAAGTTAGCACTTTTCCAAATGCAGATGGCCCAGAGGGTAGAAAATATGCAGATGAATTTAAGGAAACAAAAGGAGGTGAAGAATGCACAAGGAGGAAAGAGAAGAGTTCTACTTGGAGTAATACCCCATATGGGTCTTGAGCCTGACGCAGGACGGAGTCAGTGGAGGAACTGGGAAGTGCCATGAACAGAGCAGTAGGAGAATAAGCAGATGGCTTCGTGGGGAGAGATGAAGCTACGACAAGGACAGGAAAAAAAATGCAGGTGTCAAACTACCCAAAGGCAGCAGTAAAGGGAGATCAAGGGTGGGGGGGAAGTGTTTTAGAGACAAACTCTTCCCTGATAACTTGTTTTCTCAAATTGTTTGGTAGTGGGAAACTAACGAGTAGAAAAAGAGGAGTCATTTGGGAGCACCAAAGATTATTTTGAAATAGCTTACACAGAACACAACTGAACAATTAAATGCATGAGTAAAAAGCAGAAAGGGTAGGAGAGAACTGACAAGACTTCTTCAATTAGGATAAAGAAATGGTAAAGTATGTGTTAAAAAAACAAAAAGATAACGCATCTCTTTTAGCCTGGGAACAAGTTCTTCGGGTCAAAAAAAAAAAAAGAAAAAGCAAAGCAAACGATCAGTTCTTAAAGAGGTATTTTCCTATAAACAGAACAAAATATACACACACTGGTTTCCTTTAATCTTTAGTAATTGTTTTGTTTCTTTCTTTCTCACCTAGACAAAAGGCAGCAAATTAAATGAACTTTCTCAGGTGAAGAAATATGATTTTCATACATAAGTTTTTATATTTTGCACATACATATTTTAGAAAGAAATGGTGTAGCTTAGAAATAAAATGCTACATTTTCCTGCTGTTATTAAATTATATTAAAGTAGGAAAGCACTTAAGCAGAAAAGTGTGAATACTGCCAATCTCCAAATGTAACTCTTATTATCTTTAAAAGCATTTTGTTACTTTTATAATACCTGAAGTGACATAATAGTGTCAGTCACTTAACCGCATCTTAGAGTATAATATCTTCATCTTAAGTACTATTATTTCCAGTATTTTAATAATTTTCACACAGTCCTGAAATGTGATCTTTTGTGCTCTGATGACACTTAAATTAATAGCATAATTTTCTGGTACTTGCAACAGTTGCTTTCCATTTTGATTTTTTACATTTTTTTCTATCACATACAGATAAATCCTCTAATAATCATTTTTATCTTTATCTTCAGGGAATTCAAAGGGTTTCACTAGAAAAAAGAAACATCAAGGGATTATAACCCACAGATAAGTTTTAAAATCCAATTAATTTTAATACTAATTGTAATTTTTCAATGATGTTCCTTAAAAAGGTAGTTAAATCTTTTTTTTTTAATGCACTGTTCATTTGATCTTATTTGCATGCTTCATTGATGTTGCCAGCTGTCTCCTGCTATATACATAAATGCATCTATAGCTATTTAAATACATCACATGCTTGTCATGCAAACCATTAAAACTAAAACATTCCTTTTTATTTGATTAACCAACTAATTTTCGGTCATTGCCCAACACTTCTAGAAAAGACTGCTATCATGCTTTGTTTTTTCTACACTGCACCAAGATGGTAGTTAATAACATCAGACAGCACAAACTCTTTGTTTCTTGGTCACCTGTGTACAAATGCATTAGAATTTGTATGAAATATATCAAATATTATTTGGAAAATAAGATGTTCATAATTCAGGATATCATCACTGGCTGCCCTGACCCTGAAAAGCACTAGCAAAACCAAACTAGGTACTCCGTCCTCTGTGTCTGTTAGGTTTCCACACTCATCAGGCAAAACATCAATTACAAAAACAAAAAACATTGTGGCAGTTTATTCTTTAACAACAACTTAAAACAGAAAAAGATATTTTTAATGTATAATATAAACCTTGCATTTTATTTTTATCTACTGAGGATACTGACATCAACGAGTAGCAATGACTGGACAGCAGAGGTTAGGAAATACTAGTGCTAGAATAGTCATAAAACCTTAATGCAGTTTTTTTGCACAAGTGGATATCACAGTCTTTTCTAACTTGTTCAAATACTACTTCCCCCTGCCACGGTATCGCTGACATCTGTTGCGCTGGCTGGAAAGTGATCCCCCTGTGGCCACACTCCCTGATCCTGAGGCTGACCGGGCGTTATTGCCATCAGTGCAGAAGGCACTGGTGAGGGTGTGGTCGAAGCTGAAACACTGCATGTGATTCCGACCAGACCTTCTCAACTAAACCAACCATAGCTGGGAAGAAAGAAGCTTCTAAGATGAAGAATGGAGAGTCTACCATTAGAAAACCTCAAAAGAGTTTTACTGTTTTAGACTAGCACAACAGTGTAAAAGGAAATGGAATTATAAACTGCCGTGATCTACACTATGGTGGCTGTACAAGATACCTAGAGCTAGGGCTGGTTGAAGGACCCATCAAATGTGAATTCTTACCAAGTCAGCAGCTGGAGCCAGCATCCTCTCCACTACAGCACTGCAGTCCCAGGACACCTCATTACTTTCAAGAGGGAGCTTGGTATGTTTTTGACAGAGACATGCTGCATGATTTAATGATCCTGTTCCCTTCAGCTCTCTATAATGACCACAGCAACTGAGCAGCCCAAAAATATGATTGAGTTCATAATCAAAATGCATTTTCAGATTAGATAGCCTGAGTTTTCATATGGAAAAATAAGAGACTGAGAAAAATGTTATTTTGAAATAATGAGCTTGAGATCCCTTCACCTGGCCTTAAGAGGACTGTTTTTATTAGAGCATCACCTCCCATGACCACAGTCATAGCTTTAAACACTCAACACTTCTCCAGCTTTTTCAAATTTCAAGTTGTGAGTACAGAAAACAAAGAATACAATTAGTGATGACTTGTGAAAAGACACTGGAAGTGACTCTCGGCACAGACAGTTTTCTCTGTCAACAAAGCATATGTTCAGCCTCAAAGTCCTAATTATTCAAGGCTCTACGAGGCAAAAATCCGATATATACTGACACAAGCTATACCAGCGCAGTCCTTTGGACTGAACAGAAATTTAATGTTAATTTGGAGGGCTCTGATTCTGTGATCTTAACTTCTGAAAACGTGTTTGTAGAGACAGGGATAAATTATTTTACGGGAAAGCTGACATACAAACATATCAACTTTGATGATTTCCCAGCAATTTTAGAAAACTTTGACCCAGCGGTTACCTTTGTGAGACTACATGTAACCTCCATCCATGTCAATAACTGGTAGGAGAGACACATTTACTTTCATCAGTGAAAATCAGATATTCTGGACCTGTTTCTGAGGGGAACAAACCATCTCTTCTACCAGGAAAGAGTCTTGTGTATTTCTGCAACATTTTTGTTTCCACTTCTGTCCTCTGCTCTCTTATCTCCAGCTCATCACTGGTACCTCCTCCTGCCAATTCTTTCCTTCTTTTTTTACCTTATTCCAATTAAAGCACTTTCCCAGGTTTACCCCTACTGCCCATACACTGTTTCCTTCAATTAAAGGAATATGACAGAATGGAAAAAGAGTCCCTCTACTCTTGGGTCTTATTTCTAGAGCCATACAGGCTGGAAAGAAAAAGAAGTCTTGGACCCTACCTGCCATAAAATCCATTAAGCCTTTCTGACTATATGCCTATATGGCTATTCTGCCAAATTTCAAACACCTGCTCCAAATCATAGAATCATAGAATGTTTTGGGTTGGAACTTGATTAAATCCTGGATGAACTAAATATTAATCAAATGGTAGCAAGAATGTTCTAATTAAGGTAAATATAGCACAATTTATTAAAATTTATTTTTTTAAAAAAGATAAAAATGTGATCCTTATTCTGATTTTTTTGCTAAAATTCTTCCTAACACAAAATTTCTTTATCCAAAATTAAAACAACTGCAAAGCTTCCCAATAGAAACAGTAAAGTGGCCTAAACTATACGTGCTGCTACCTGCTTCCCCTTTATGAATTCTTAGATAGAATACAATTTAATAAAGTGAACAGCAGTTGGATGGAAAAGAGATCACCTGTATCACCTCAATAATTTATGATTCGTTAGATTTGTTTGGAAACTGTTTCTTTCTCATGAACAGTAGTTCAACAATTTTCTCCCTCCTTAGCACAAATCAAACCGAGACACAACACACTGAAATCTTTATAAAGTGTCTTGTCAACCATCTCAATTTTTTGTATTTATAGATGCATATAAAGCTGATGTCTAGGAAGCTTCTTTGCCAAGAAAAAACACAATTATGATGCATTTTACTGTTTTCATCAAAATAACCGAAAATTAATCTCATTCATACCACTATACCTTCTGAATCTTGTATTACTGTTTCATTGTTGGCTGGCTGCATGACCTCATTAGTCATTGATTTCCACTCTCCTGACCTTCATGTAGCCACCCAGGTGGGCAGTGGTCAGTATAGAAACAATACCCTGGTGTGAGGGCAGCAGAATATAGATGCACTGAACTGCAGAACTGTGCTTACAGTGTATGCTAAAATGTGGAGACAGCACATTTATCTGGTTATTTAGAAAAAGAATAAAACTGAAATAAGTAGATGTTCTTGCACTTGTCATTGAGAAGCACTCTGCATTTATTTGGCACTTATAACAGTAGCAGCAGCAGCATTGCCCTTGGTGCTGATTTCTTACTTCTCTAAAATGTCTCCTCTGAGCCAGCCAGAATACACTGGCTGTTGCTGATCATGCTGTGAGACACCTGCACTGGCTACTAGGCTTGTCATGACGCACAAAACCCTACCATCTTCAGCTTGACATTGTGCAAGTTATAATTATTCATCCAAATGAATATGTCAGAGCAGCAGCAGCAGACCTCTCATCAGAGCAAAAGAAAAATACATCAAAACATTATCAACCCAGCAGGAAGACAGGGACCATAAGGAAAATTACCCATTTTTAATATGGATGCCATAAAGCCATTTCTGGCTTATTACATGGAGGGGGGGGGGAGAAAAAAAAAGGAAAAAAACTAACCACCCAACAAACCCTCAAGTTTAAAGTCCAGAAGCACTGAAAAGAATCTGAAATAAGCAACAGCACACACAGGGGGGGGGTGAAGAAAAAAAAAAATCAATCACCTGAATCAATTTATATTTTCTTTCATAGGAGTTTATATTCTAATAGTGCAATTGCACAATTTAAGTTAAGCCTTGTCAGTTTTTACATTGAAGATGAGCAACAAATATTAACATTTAGGACCTATCAGTATCAAAACTTCATGTTATTTTACTAGAAAATAAGTATAGCATATTCTTTTTTCCTTTTAGGAACCAAAATTTTTAACCACTTGAGGACCTCCTAAATTCTGATACCTGGGGTGTTTCAGCATTACCTAAGCTTAACCCTTATTTTACGACAGTGTGAAGACTGCTCACTGCAGTGATTTTGAAAAACCACACATTTTGAAAATAAGCACAATTTACACAATTACTACACACAGTTTTTTCCAGAAGGGTTAGGTTCATGTCACCCACATAGATAAGGTCAATTTTCAAAAAAAGACTGTCCAACTAAAGCTTTTCTATCAGCACAATGCACAGGTTGTTGGTATTTGGTTCAGTATCATAGCAGGCTATCGGCAGCTAGAATTAGTATGACATGATCACAAAACTCGGTCTTCAGTTACATACAAACATCTACTGTTCATGTTTTCAAATAGTCCATAGGTAATTCTAACTGTAAAAAGATTTTAAGGTCTCAAGCATGAGAATGTCATATTTTTAACGTTAGATTTTTGCTTGATTGTAGTGTTGATATTAAAATATTCACTCCCATCTTTAACCTGATATAAAGCAGCTGCTTTTGACATGTTTTTCAAGAACATTTTATTAAAACTTCAGTCCAGCTAGCGGTTTTAAAATTACTAATAGTAAACACAGAGAAGCAATGACTGTCAAGGCTATTTTAAATGTTGTTAATTTAAGGGAACATATATTGCAATGCTGGAAAATTAATAAAATACTATTAAAAGTATGCATAAAGTTCAAGGTTAGAAACAATACTTGAAATCCTGCCGGTAGTATATGGAATCCAGTATAATTTAAGGGAAAAACAGTATCTGTTTAAATTGTTCCAAACCATACCAGAGAATCAACACCTAAAATTACATGTGAAAATAAATATATTTTTCATTTGCAATAGCCCATTCTTGCAGTTATTTCCTCAAGCTCTTGTATTGGAGGGTCTGCGGTGACACACAGAACCTTGAGCTTCACAGTCAAAATTATATGCCTGTCTTAAAATCATTCTGATGCAACCTTTCAGACATGTTCCCTATGTAAATTTAGTAACATAAGGACAGGCTTTATTGATGGGTAGAAACCCTTGCGAGAGTTAGAATTATGAAATGCCATCATTTACGTAAAAACTATTTTCCCAGAACTAAATGAAATTAAACATCAACTATTTTCTAGAGATCATTCAAATTAACTTACATTTAAGTGGTCACATTTAAATCCATTTAATCAAGTACATATGCTCTATTAAGGAAAAAAGATATATGAAATAATGCAAGAGAGACTAAAAAAAAGGCAATTGTTCTTGGTTCTTCATATTAACAATACCAGTTAAACTATGAAATCAGAATTCTGTTAAGTACTTTCCTGTTCTTCTTTTGATTGTAACTGAAAAAGTTTTATTGTTATGAAAACTATATAGGATAGCAAACTGGGGGACTGCCTTTTTCTTCATGTCTGTCAACTTCAGAGCATGCTTCCTTTCTATAAGACAATCATTTCCCATGTATATATTCTCCCAATATCATTCCTATAGATATTTCAGCTGTATGAATAGCTTAAGAAAAAAACAGCTGGTATGAGTGCAAAGCATACAACATGCAAGGTATATCTATATGGCAAGGAAAATATTTAAAACACTGTCATAAGGAGTTCAGTATTACTACATTTACATCAGCATGTATAAAAGTAAAATGCACACAGGGAAAAAAGCTGGAGGTAAAAAACAAAGTCCAACCCTTCATTACCACCTACATATTGAATATGTACCTCAGTTATTAAAAAAAGATGCATAGTACAGCAGTTTACCTGTGGCATCCAAGAAATCGCAAACGGAACAGGAAAATCCACAAAGCAATCCGGCGGTTCTGTTGGATACTGAGGGAGGGAAAGAAAATACAGGTTTTTGGTTTTCTTTCTTTTTTTTTTTAAAATGATTTAAAGTCAGACTGATACTCAGCTGCCAAATTTGATAACAAAATATGAGCACATCAAGCATCTTGAGAACTTGGGTCTTAGAGGAAACAGTACGTAAAGCATTTTCATAAAAAATTATGAATGTTAATTATCATGTTAAGAAGAAATGTACATGTAAACAGAGTTTATATAGCAGTTTTTAGTGAAAGTAGGAGAATCAGTTCCCTCTGTCCAGTGTTCACAAAGACACATTTAAAAAGAACTGAAGACAAAAAAGATCAAATATTAAAAAAGAAAAATTATCCTCAATTACCTGTATTGGATAGGAAAACATAAAAAAACCCAACCTTTTCATGAATCAAGAACTAAGTTTCATTTAAACTAGAATATTTGCTCTGACTTGCAACATTTTTTGTCTGAAACTGAACATAATCAAGAGTAAGAACATAACTAGAAAGAGATGAATGAACATATACCCAAAATTAAAACAACTCCTTGCCCTCCACCCCAAATGAAAAGGTATCAATGAGGAAAATAAAAAAATAGCTGTATTAAGAAAACTGAAGCTATAGAAGTTTGATAACTCCAAAAATAACTACTGACTATTCTCAGCATCCAATTTGAAATCTGTTGAAGAAAAGCTGGTATTTTCTGAAAAATAAAGCAGCAAAGGAAAGAAACATCTAATTACAAATAAACTGTGTCCTTTCTAAGAGCATCTATCCAAAATTTTATTCACTTGAGAAGTTGCCTCCTTTAGTCCTATGCAACTTTTCAAATTCTACCAATGACATACCCAGCAGTTTCATAGAAATTGTATTAGTATCACATAAACTGCCACCACAAGAAAATATTATAGAGAACCTTATTTGGGGACACACGAAAAAAAGTCCCAGCTTCCTCATAGAATTCAAGAGAGTTAAGACAAAGAGGTGCTGCTTCCCATAACTGTTCTCCATCCAAAGTAAACCTCTACACATAGACATTGTCCTTATTTACCAGACATCTAGCAATCAATTCATCAGAATTTTTAAAACATGGCTTTATTTTATGTAAAATGAAATTCTACAGTAATTAGTTTCAAATTGTTCTCAATGGCAAAGAGCAAAAAAAGAGACGTGACTTCCCTAAAGCATCCATTTTTCATTGCTTTCATTTTAATAATAATCTAGTGGATTTATGGATTTCACATAAATTTGTTTAAACTTGCTTTTTAATGTGCCTTCATTTGTGGTTTCTGTTAGGTGTTCACTTTCTGAAGACAACTCCTGCAACTAGGATATCTTGTGCTTTATCATTTTATCAAATTGGTGTCAGAGAAGTTAAATAAGAATGACAGAGCAAGAGGAGAGAAACAACTCATTTGGACAGGAGGCAGCTGCAACTTTGAAATGTATATCCACGAAAGCTGTTACAGTTTCTTTTATTGTAGAGTTACTGATCTTGCATTGTAGGCATTGCAGTGTTAGTGGTTTTGTATTGTAGGTATTATTTTTCATAAAATACTTCAATGCTTGCACAGAAATGAAATCGTCTGCAATGTATAAAAGTATGCCTAGAACAAACTCAGTCAGAACAATTTTCCCATAGGATTGGTTTTAGGCCTACCCCATTTAAATCTCAGCAGCACTAGCCAATTATGTGTTTACTTTTTTGGTAAGTAAATTCATTTTATGCACTCTTTTGTAGGGTGCCTTTGAACAAGCAATTGCAAACAGATTCTACTAACTTTATATTATTTTAAAAACCCCCAAAACCAAAAAACCGACAGCAGTTTTAGTCACATTTTCTTTAAGAGCACAATATTGTACTGTGCACCAGATAATTGCCGAGAAACATGCAACAATGATTCTGTACATATGTATGGAATGCTTTTAGACCTTGCAGAGTGAAATCCTATATAAAATAAGGTGATTCCCCAAGAGATAGTATTTTACAGTACTATACCTGCCTGAGCACATCAATGACATCATGTGTTATTACATTCAAATGTATATGTCATTATTTATATGTCCTATTATTCTTTAGAACAATTTAAGCAATTATTAAACAAAATATTTATATTGTATTTTTGAGCATGCAGTTAACTTTACCTAGAAAAGTATTTTCATAACCCTTGCCAAATCATTCAGATAATTACCAAAGCATCTTGATTACTACATGGCATGCAAATCCTTGCAGTGGCCTATTTGAAAGCTTGGTATCTGAAATGGCAAGCACTCAACCCATTTCTCATGCAATACAAAAAGAAATCAGATAAAGAAAATCCAGTGTATATGGTTTTATACTCACAAAGATGCACGCTTTGTTTTCAGAAAACTTCTCAATGTAAATTGTGAGTGGATAAAGATTTCTGGACCAGGCATTTTCAACCAAACAAATCTGAAAACTATTTCACTAAATTTAACCTGAGCACTAAACAAGTTTAAGCCTAATCATTTACAAAAGTCAAAATTGTGTAGCACATAATTTGGCTAACGTACCTAACTATGATATGACCATTCTCAATTCTTCCAGGCTAAATCAATCACTCCAAGTTTCCTAGACGTTTTACAAATGCAGTTTATAGAAAACAAGTGTTTTGAAAGGAAAGTTCCAAACACAAAGCACATTAAGACAAGGACAACAGGTAGAAACATTTGACAATGCATTAAATAAAAGTCCCCAAAACATATCCAAACCATTAAGAATGATAGCAAAGAAATATTTAGGGGATTATCTGAATACACGATAACCTTACGAAAAAGAATTTACTAAGGTACTTATTTAAGAGTTTCTTCCTAAAAATGTCAGCATGCTTATAAACTCATTTCACTGTACAGCTGAACAAACCAATCTGCCAGAATACAGACAAGAGCCAGCAATATATGGAAAAGGTTTAGCTCAAACACTAACGTTCATCAAAGAAACGGCATAACAAAAATAAACATATTTTTTATTAAAGCAGGTTATCAAAAGAAATCCCTTCAAAAATACTTCACCAAAGTCTTTTCAAATGTATTAGATATGTATATTGAGGAAAATCAAATCCCCATGTCATCAAAACCACATTTCACATGTAAATTTTCTCTTGTGGCAATTTAAATGCCAGTCATGGTTTAAAAAGGACAAGCAATTGATCCTTCATCATAACAATCACTTGGGATTGATGATTACTTGCTGCAACAGACAAATTGGATAATCTAGTCTATTACTCTGTATCCTTAATTGTTAGACAGTGCTTTCTTCTGCTATTGGAAGTCTCAACTTCAGATATTTTACTACTATAAAGAAAATACACAAATTTTTACAAGGACAGAAAAGGGTAATCTAGATTCCCTTTAGGGTACAGTGTTAAATTAAAACTAAACAGACCCAGCCAATGCTTAAGCCCAATAGTGTTTGACCACGGCAGCTGCTTGGTAAAAATAGGTATTGCACTGTATTTTTTCCTGCGCTTTTATACTTCCAAATAGTTAAAATATTTTACTTCACTTGCCATAAAATTAAGAAAAAACCTAGAGGCAACAGGCTGCACTTAATTCTTAGTGTCATACTAAGTATGGGATAGCGGCTCCATTATAAACAATGACAATACAGTCTGGTTACTCTCCTTGTACATTAAACAGACGATAATTGTACTTCCTGATATATTTTTTCGACCAATGTATTTAATAACAGGCTGACTAGCAAATTAATTATGCATTCATTACTCTGTGCATGTAGGATAGTTCTACTCTTTTTTTAAAATCCACTTTAGCAACCTCAACTCCCAAACAGTACTTTTTCCACAGGCTCCTTTTTCCTCTCTAAGGTAAAATTAGCTTGTCTTATGTAAAACTCAAAACCCTCTGGTATTTAAAGGAATATACGATGTCTGTGAAGGTGAAATTTAATCTTACAATACCATGCCCACTCCTCATCCCTTCAAGATTATTACTCCAGATGACAGACCAAGGATAGTTCCAAACAACAATGTTTAGACACTTCTGGATCTACTTTTTCCCCTGGACTGATTTTCTGAAGACGAGAGCTATTACCATACAATTGTTGCCATACAGCCTGGATATTCAGAGTTTCTGGGAAGAGATTTATGCCTTGAAACAATAAATTCTATGAAGAAACATTGCATTGAGTTCAGGTATAAGTATCCAGAAAAATTGAATTTTTTTTGCTTCACACATGCCATGGAATTGCTTTGCAGACACTGTCAAAGGCAGCAAATTATTTAAACTTTAAAAAAAATATTTTTTTAACATAAAGACCTAATTTCTACAGTCAGTTTTTCATAGATCTTTATTCTATAGCTTCAACAGTAATGCTTGCTAATCAGACAAGCCAATATCCTCTAATTCTCATTATATGCATACCGTCTAGATGGAGTGATAATGAATGAGTCTCCCAAATGGCTTTGTCTGTAATCCAGAAAAATAATTGCAATATCATGAGATGTTTTTCATGTGATGCACAGTTTCATATGAAAAGATTCTTACAGATTCCCATAATGCAATATAAATTTTAAATTAAAGTCTGAAATCTCTACTTTATATAAAAGAATTTCTCAAAAAACCCACCACTATTATCTTGCAGAGCAGACATACTAATAAACAAACCAACTCTCTAAAATCCTTATGAATTAACAGAAATCCATTTATTTCAAGGAAGCCTTAAAATATATTCTCCCACATAAACTCACCTTTGCATTTAACGTGAGAGTGATGAGATGTTGTCGACCACAAGTGTCTTCAGCTTTTAGCTTGACTGTGGTAAGACCAGTATCCACATATGCGACTCTGAAAGAGAGGAGGAAACTCTCTCAACAGCATTGCAAAGTGTACAGTTTGAAATGTCTGCAATACTCTTACTAGCCCCATTACAAATATTAATCAGAGAAAGTCCTATACACCAACAATTTCTCCTCTTCTAGATTTACTGCTGTTAATACACCAGTCTACTGCTTAATGCAGTCATACATCTTTGGGTTATTTACAATGTGTGTCAAGGCTCATGCTGTGGTCAGTGAGCACTGTGTTTCAGTTTTCCATCACAGGAACCTTTGACACACACAGCATGTTCCTGTCAGCCTCTACTTATGTACACATTAAACTTCCTGTCAAATCTTTGATCCATTTCTGCAGTTTCTTACTGTATGAGACTTTTATGCTCTTGATTTGTTTTCTCTTCAATAAAATTCTCTTTTATTATCAATACTATTATTGTGGACAATTCAGCGGATATTGGTTCATATTCTGAAATTGATTTTCTGCAGAAAACAGTGCCAGAACAGGTATGAAATTATTTACAAGAACTTGCCTTCATTTCATGACAGTTTCACACAGTATGCATGCACCCAAGCAAGTATCAAGTACATACTAAATGTAAACAAGTTTTAAAACTTCTGACAAAATCACTCTTTGCTTAAGATGTCACAGATTTATGCTTCCCGCAACAATGAAGACAAAGGCAATTGTCAAATACATTGTTCTCTAGAAATATGTTCTGTTGAGTAGCTTCAACAACAGCCAAAACAGTTCAAGCTTCATATATTAACCAGCAAACTGGACATGTGGATATTTTGGCATTTTTACTATGTCATTCTTGTGTAAAGATAAAAAGCAGACCAAGATTATTGTAAAACTTATCACCTAGACTGATGGAAAAGCCTATCAGAGTTCAAAGAAAGCAGCTGCTTGCTGACCTAAGTAACATTTTTTTTTAAAACCATTACATATAGCCCAGTCATTCGAGGCAGCATGCTGGGAAAAATAGTTCTCTTTGAAGTGAAATGGCCAACAGAGTTGTAGAAGCCTGTACCAGAAAAAGCAGACATACACCAAAGGGTGTGTACATTCCTAGGAAGGAAGTGAAAAGAAAAAAACTGATCTACATATTATGACATAGCCTCAACATGATGGAACTGAAGAATACAGATGAAAAAGCAGTCGTAGTAGTAAGTAGGGAGATATATTATTTCATGTTTAATGCTGATTAATGCAATATTAAATAGTCCTACAGATACCTGGGAGCATTTTGACACTCCTTTTCTCTACAACAGTTGAAAGAAATACAAGTCTTTATAAAAGTGTAATTCAACTTTAGTCAATTAAATTCCATTTATTTAGAAAGAACATTATTCCTCTCACTGGAAAAAAAAAATTACTCCTGCTTTGTTCCAACTTCACATCAAAATTATATCACAGATTTTTCTTAAGATAAGAAACTACCTACATCCCACCCTCTTCATCTACTGTTGCCTGGTGTGTGGAAATCATAAACCAGCAGCTAAGGCACAGAATGGTTACTGGAATAAAATATATAGCAGTGTCCAAAACAAAGTATAACTGGTGCAGACATCAATGCACTGTGAGGTTAGATAGCAAAAGAGAATGGAAAAATTAAAGGGATGCTGTCAAGGTCTTTAGGATTTAAAATCATCTGTTCTGACAGTCATCTTGTTTGGACCATTTCACTCTAGAGATGCCAGAAAGGTATGGATTATTTTAGTTTAAAATCAAACATTTTTGCAGTTCCTCACTCTATATGGGGTGGGAGGGAAAAAGATTTAAAAAATATTTTTATTTCTATTTCTTAGATAGCAATGGACATACATGTTTTAAAATTTATTTATTAAATCCTTAAAAGTTCAGTACTTTAGCATTAAACAACCTGATGGCCTCTAAAATAAACATATATACGTGTGACTATTTACATATATTTAATATAAATATATACACACCATTATACTAAAAATACAGTGACAATATGATTATGTTCAATCATATTTGTAAAGAACCTTCACTTCAGTTTTATTGAAAGTGTAAATTAGACACTTCAGAAAAAAATTTGTAAGCATTTGGAAAAGGTAGCAAGAGCACCAATAACGGGTACCAGTTTAGTTATGTATAGAGAAACACATCAGAACATGATTTTCAAGTTCTGTCCGTTATTCAATTTTTAACAAATTTTTAGTTTTAGAATTCATATTTAAAGTATCTTTTAAAACCAATTTAAAAAGTGATTTTCACTGAGCTTAGAGATAAAATAAAACCAATTAAAAAACATAGATCCTCAACACTATGAAGCATCACTACAATACAGACCAATCTGGAAATTCTTATGAGTTTTATTTAATTTTGACTTCAACAACTAGTTGCTAGTAGAAGACAACTATTCAAGCTAAGCAACACAACACCTTATAAGTATTATTCATTAAAAACCTTGTACTTAGAGTTTTTCTAGAAAAATGTTCTCTTCCCTTTCAAACTTTTTCACAAATAGGAACATCAAGGAATAAAAAACTTCTCAGACAATGGCTATAAAGGGTTGAAGAATGCCCAGAATAAAGATTCATAGGTAGCCTTCCTCCTTCTCAACATAATGTGAAAACAATAAACTGCCTCCAGGCAAGAAAGGATCCAATTTTCCATTTAGGACAGAAAGAAGGAACTCAGTAGCTTCGTGGCTAACTGTTCTGTAACATCACTCTACCAATCATTGGATAAGAAGAGACGAAAGGGTCAGTTGTGTAGCACTGGAGAAAGTTGCTCCATGTTGTAAGAGTCATATTAACTTCTTCATATGGTTGTATAATCAAGTAAGGAATTGTTTACATAGGTGATATTTTGGTTATATAAACCTATATTCCTCTGTAGGCTTTTATCATATAGAAAAAAAAATGAATGACCATAATGGAAAGCCTCAGTTACATCCCTGAAGTACTGTAATTCAGCATAACACACAAATGATTGAGAACACACTACAAGGCAGGATTCCCTTGGAAACAGAGAAGGCAAGAGGAAAAGATACTTCCTATGAAAAAACTTGGCAAGTATCAAGCAGAAATGCACTGAGACTTGACACAAGTGGGATCATGACTCACACCACACACTTAAGAGATACTGGCAACATTTATGAATCCACATGAGGGTGCTAAGATTCCTACAAGTGTTTTATAGTCGATAATTTACCTTCCCAAGATATTGTTATTGCATCAACTAGCAAAATTATGAGATGCTATTAGAAGAGCCTTTCCTATAGCTTAATACTACTACACATGTACTCTCTCCCTCACCTCAGCTGATTAGGTTTGTGCTGGTATTTTTCCATGTTCTTAAAAAGAAGGAAGTATCCTCCTTTGAACTTGTCGGCTGTTATGACAGCACTTAGTGTTAGAAATTTGGTACAATTTTATAACCTGGTGAACTGTGACTTTTGTGTACAAGTATTTGAATATGAAAGCATATTCACTCTGCTGCACACCTAAATTAGGTCAAAGAATCAAGTTTTCTGTATCACAGAGACAGTGATTATATCTATTCACAGCAGCCTGCCCATTTGCAGTGCTCATTACAGTACTGTTTGTACTTTCAGTGGTTTAGGAGGAAAGAGGTGTAAGATCATTGCAGATAATGTCTTCAATTTGTTTCTGAGAAACTTCACATATCCCTTAGATAAAAGCCACTAGAACACATGAAATGTGTGCCACACCTGAGAGCTTCTTAACTCACTTCAGAGGTAAAGGAACCATAGCCTACTGCTTTGATTCTCTTTCAAACAAAATATCCTTCAGTTTTTCGGTTGGATTAGGATACAGTCAGCTTCCAACATGACCCAAAACTCATTAGGAAAAAGTAAACCTGGGGTCCACAACAAGCCAGTTCTTTTCCAGTAAAAATACTGATAAATAAAGCTGGAGGCTTCTCAAGGTGTGAGCAGTGATTGATCCTTACTGCCAGTACTAACTGAAGGCTTAGTTTTGTGTTGAAAGACCATACCAGGATCTTTTCAACTAACATGCAAATACGCATCACCTGCAACTCAAAAATCAATCTAGGTTATGTGGCCTTCTTAGTAGTTCATTATATTGTTAAAAAAGCCACTAAAATTAGAGGTGTAACTTACTAAGGTATTTCAAATCGCCTCTCTGGGTTATTCTCCTTCCAACTCATAGTAAACCAGACAGGATCCCCTATGTACAGCCTAGCCCTTTGATTAATGATTCACTTCCCCAACCAAAAAAATCCAATCAAGGCTTTACCTATAACATAAGCCAAGAGGTGGATGTTTACTGAATTATATGACGTCACAGGACAAAAGCACAGCATAAGTTGTGCGTCTACATGAAGACCATCTTTGCCTAGAAACCAGGTCAAGTTCTGCCCTAGAAGCATGCACTTTGATAAAACACTGATGTGCTTCTTAATAATAAACTACTGGATGTTTTGTATATAGACCAAGTAAGAAGAAATACCAGTTTTGAGATAGTATATTGTATTTTGAAAGTGCATTTTTAGTATATTTAGCTCTATACTATATTTACATATCTGATTATAAATACAGTATATTTTCTAGATTTATATATTTGAAGTATATTTATTGTATGTCAGTCTCTGTTTTGCTGGCATGGGCTTTTTCAAAGTTTTGGTTTGGTTTGTTTTTTTTTTTTTCATTTTGGGAGAGAAGGCATGAAGGCATAATTCAAAATTTACTTCCCATGTGTTTAGATAATTTTAATATTCTCAGACCTGAGCCTGAGAAACTTCAACAGAGCATGTCATCAGCTGGCACAACTGCATACTTAGTAACAGAAATCACTGAAAGAAAACTCATCTGATTTAACAAGAATGTTTTAAACCTTTAAATAAAAGTGGGCCTTCAAACCAAATTCCTACTTAATGTTAAGCACATGTTATTTATGTATATATAAATCAGGTGAGAAAACTCAAAACTGTTCTTAAACCCAAGGCTTCTTTATTTCATTTAGCAAAATAAACGCTTGTTGAAGTTAACTTACCATCCAAGTCTAAGGTAAAAGATTTGTCTTGTTGAAAACTGCAAATGTAGGCTTTTTGTTTTTAACTTTCATTTTTACTGAAACTATAAATTAGCTTCTCATTCAAAACTCTTCAACATCCTACACAATCTTTTCTCTAAACGACTTGAAAGGGTTATTAATTGCATATTATTAGTTAAATGCATATTATTAAAAACAGCCTTCAAACGTTATTTCCTTAATGCCTTCCTACGCAGAAACAACTGCCTTCTTCAACCCCATAGAGGTCTCCTGATGGTTCTAGGGGTAAGGACAGAAATCAGTCCATTCCAGGCTCTCTGCTCTAGGCATAAAAGACTCAGTATCAGAGAACTTGCTAGTGGTAGCACATGTGATGGCAGTTAAAGCCTCTCAAGTAAAAGTCTACAAAACAGGAAGCTTTGCAGATTTCTGAAAAATTTCCACATGGACATTGAGTACTTGATCACATGTGTACGTTCCTTCAGGTTTCTATAGGAGGTATGAGGAGAACAACCTTGTAGGAAGATGAAATTAAATTTGCTCTACGAGCTCATCTGAGAGTAAACGGGACTGTGAATAACATAATCTATTTGAACTCATTCCAGACCCTAATGAGAAGGCACCCAGAGGCAGCTATGTATACATTTCATCCCTCAACAAAGTCAAATATCCTTTCCTAATGTGACATTCTTTCCCATGATATTAAACCAACTGTTTCAGTTGGGGTGAAAAGATTCACTTCTAATTCTCCTTCCCCCAGAAGATGATGCAAACTGTCACTTCTTGTTCCACAGGTACTCAATTTATAGTACAGCATATATATGAAACCATGTTCTTGGGTGCATTGAGTCTCCATCCTCACATGACAGTTTATACTCTCCTGGTGCATTTCTCCCAGTTGGAAATGCTCCTGTGCTCCCCCAAACACGGTTTCTCTCTGTGAGGGTTGCAAAGAGCTGTCTGTTTCGAAGTTCTGGAGTTAACAGCTTTCCAAATTCTCCCCTCCACTCACATATTTTTTTTTGGTAGATTTACCTTTTTGTGGATGAACTATGTTATTCATTTGTCTAAGGAGATTCTTGTGCTATGAAGAGCAAGATAGAACTGTTCTTTAAAAATAATTATTCTAGTCCTAAAAAATGTATGAACTGTTTTTATGAAAGTGTGATGATCAACCATATCATATGAGAATAGTCAAGAAAAGCTGTACAAAGTAGGGAAAATAGGGAAGGAGAACTATAAAAGTTGTATTAAATCCATTTCTATGCGAGTAGTTTATATAGGTCAAAGAAGAATTGATTTCTTAGTAGTAGTATCTCACCTTTCAGCTCAGCTATTTGAGACTGAAAATACACCTTCAGATGAGGCAGGTTTGCAGTTTTTAATTAAAAAAAAAAACAAACAAAAAACAAACAAAGCAACAGTTTTTTAAAAGTAAACCAGTTTCTGAACAGGATGAATTAACAGAACAAGTACATTTGATATGTTCAACTCACAAATATAAAAGAAGAACAAATATTATAAACATAATGTCTCTTAAGAAATAAAATAAACATACTTAGTCCAACCCAACATTTCTAGATCTCTGACAAGACAGAAGTAGTATTCTGGCGACCGTGGTATATGCAGGTCTTGAGTATTCTTTAAAGCAATTTCCTGTTTAAAAGAACATTTAAAACATCATTAAGAGAGATTTCAATATTTTTGCATCTATTTAGTTGTGATTTTTTGCAATTCATTCAAAAATATTAAGCTTATGTAAAATTAACTGTACACTGCATTTGTTTTGTTATAGCCTCCAGCTAAAGCAGACAAAGATGATGTTTGGTAAATTACTTCAGATACTGGCAATGAAAACATCTGCAATTTAAAAAAAACCCACAGATGTTGACAACATAGTCTTCAGATGCAAATATCAAATATGCCTCTTTTTCAGCTAATAAATTTGAAGTCAAGCATCTTGACTGTATGAACATTTCAAACGAAGGTTCTATCAAGCCCACAGCTGTCTCCTGGGCTCCACAGCCACAAAAGAAGACACATATATGAAATCCCCCATATTATTTTTAAGTAGCTATATGCAACTTTATACAGCAATCAAAAGAAAAGAAATAAAAAAATCAATTTCTCAGTTTTAATATCATAGGATCCCAGTGAGTAAGTTTTGGTACAGGCACTCAAGTATGTTGTAATTTCTCAAAAAGAAATTTTTATCAAACAGGTAGTGCCAGGTTACAGAGAAAAACAAAAACAAACCATATGTTCCACACACATGATGTGCTACATGTTCTTTAAAAATGTACTTAAGTTAAAATTATGCTTATAGAACAAATAAATAAGATAATGAAATTTATAATAAAATTATAATAAAATTCACATAAAA